ATGTTTGAATTAAACAGCAAAGGTGAGTGGTGGGAGTTGGTACTCAGTCTGGAGCTAACCTTGAGCCCCTGCCTGCCTGGGTTCCTCTGGCTTTTCAGAGAAGATTTACCCCCGGCCTGTTGCTGTCACCTCTGAAAAGAAAGAGAGCTAATGTCAGAAGGGTACCTTCTCTCTAACACACAGACCTGGCATTCGCTGATCTAAATTCCAGGCTTCCTGGGGGAGAAGCATCAGGCATACCTACAAATCACCTGGATCCTCATCTACACTCCATAATGATGCTAAGCCTCACATCAGAATGAAAGGAAACACTATTGACAATTATAAACTACTAAATATAGCTCAGTACATTTAAAAATGAACAATAGTAAAAGCCTTGACACATTTTTCTTTGATGTGAATGGAGTCTTTGGCATTTGGAAGCACAATAAGATGAATTAATTGTTCCTCATTACATGGCAAGTCAGGAGGGGTGTGAATGTGCCTTCTCTCCTCGGCATTGGCTGTTGCCTGACCGAAATAGCCCCTTTTGTATTTGCTCCTGCTTCCTCTAATAATAAGCAAATTGGAGATCATGGCTGGGAGAATTCAAGTGCCCTTCATCCTTTCTCCAGAACTCTCAGAGAGAGTTTTGTGATGTTTATCTGTTCAGGGACTACTGCTAATAATTGCAGAAGTCATGCGAATTCACAGAGTGCAAGATTGGAAACAGCATCTGCAAAATTACTTTTAGGGAAGTATTCTGTGTTTTATCTTTTTCTGCAAAAGTGATTTTGCAAGCAAATTGCTGTCTTTTCTCTCTTGCACTATATTTTTATATTGCTGGAAAAATATATTTAGAGGAAAACATTTAATAGCTATCAAGAGTTTTTGAATCCATGGTCTTCTTTTTTTTTAACTTTATGCATTTTTCCTGTTATAATGGTAGACTTCCATGTGAATAAATTAGATTGGAGTCTTTAAATTCTGAAATTATGAGCCCTAAATAAAGTGTTTGGAATATATTGGCCTAATAGGCTGTTCATTAAAATTCCGTATATGACAGCTATAAAATGGTACATGCAAGCCTGTGACCTTTGTACATTATCTTTGTTTGTTTATGGTTAATGCCTAAGAATTATGAGATAATCGATTCCCCAGAATAATAAGCAAAGGAGAAAGGAACTGATTAAAAGGAAACTGATAGAAACTATCCAGAAACCAATTCATAAAATATCCTTGATTTTTAGGAGCACATCACTCCAGATATGTGCATCTGTGATGCAGCTGCCTTCCCATCATGTATATTACATGTAGACATTTTCGTGCTTTCAACCATTAGAAGGAGGCAGTCCTTGTTCTGCTTCATGAAATATGAAAGTCTGTTTACTTAGTAACAATAACGATGTGAAAAGCTTGGGCTGAGGAGTTTCTGAGTGGCACATCATGCCGGACCCCATGTGGTTGGCGTAGTGAGGCCATTGATACCTTGGGGTGCCAGAAGTTGGACAGGGAGGAGAGTTGAGTGCATCCTGAGACATGCACCCCAAGTTAGAATGCTTCGTCTGCCCTCATTCTCAGGTCAGATAGGACATCCGATCCTAGCAACCCATCAACAGTCTTAGACCCATGTTGCCTGCTTCATAAATATTTTCCACAGTCCAGGTCATGGGCTTAACTGAGGGTTCATTCAGTTGGAAAGGAAGAGTTACCTTTTCTTATTCCCCCAATGCTCAGCTTTCTGTGGCCCCATTCTTTGTCATCTTAGGGATATATGGGCTTACAATCAGTAATAAGGAGTCAGTATGAAGTTGATCAAGCTTTTTCCTAGGACACATTTGTCTTGTTCATGCATGCTCATATGCACATCCACACTCAGAATGTTTCCTGTAACCTCAGACATCATAGGAGGTAACTCAGTATTGACCTAAAACTGTATCCATTTTTCAAGATACAACAGTGTGTTCATCCTTTGTAAATCTCATCCACACCTCAGACATGTTGGTATGAAAACATTTTAGAATAAAATTAATATGATGTACAAAGATAGCATATATTTTTTAATTTACTGAAGCTCCAGTATTTGAGTAGATTAGTGACACACCCTTCCCCCTATAATCTAGGGAGATGAGTAGTAAGGATAGAGTAGAATGTTTAAAAGTCCAGGATATTAGACTAGAGTGACACAGAGAAGCAATTTGCTCAGGCCTGACACAGTTATCATTTCTTCAAAGCCAGGCCTGTATCTCTAGGCCGAAAATGACAATTTACAAATCCCTCCATGGAAATCTCCTCACTTGGCATCCTTCCTCCCATTTCAGGATAAGTGCTTCTGCAGCCAGGCTCTCAGTTCTGATTTTCCCTGGCGGTGCTTATTGTCTGCAGGGTTACTTTATATTTTAAACAACAACAAAAAAATTAATTCTTTTAATTTTTAAATGTATATCATCTATAAAGGAGAGATGTTATGAAATTAAATGAGTAATCGGAGCGTTCCCACTACAAAAGGTAGGAAATCACTGGTATAGACATTTTAGTCCATTTGCAGAAAATTGCCTATTCTCGAGTAGGTAGGTCAAGTGCAGAAAGAACCTCTACTTGAGATACAATTTCCTCTCCACACTTGGCTTTCTATTAGGATAGGCGGCCAAGCACTGCCCAAATTTTAACATTCGGCTGTCTTTTCACTAGCCGTTTTTTGGTTATATGCATTAAGGTATGTTTGCTTAGGACGGAATTCACACCCACAGCTTCAATTTTAGAACCAGAAGGACTTGAGAGAATAATGTTTAAATCTTTATTTTGTAGAAAAGGGGAAAGTGTTAAGCGACTTGCCCAAGGTAATGCACCCCATTAACATCAGGCAGAGGCAGATAGAGAGCCAGGTCTCCCGACTCCTCAGCCAGGATGCCTTTTCCTGGCACAGAGCAACTTGGTGTGATGGAAGCATTTGAATTTGCTCACCTGTTTTGGAACTTTTGTTTCACTCAGGTACCTCATGGCATGCTGGGTAATAAGACAGTCACACTTTATTTACCAAAAGAAAAAGATCAATTTCTGGAGCTGTGTGACAAACAGCAAAGCTGGTGACATTTCTCCTTTCCTTGTTGACTGATTTTCTTATACAAGAAACATCAAACTTTCCTCATGAACATTTTGAGGAACTTTTTAATCAGCCTAGAAAACTCCACTAAGAATAAGAGTAGGCAATGGAGATGTAGAGAGCTCACTTCCACTTGGACCTAGGCTTTCAGTGGGTGAGTCACTCTACCCAAGTGTGCACAAATGCTCTCTGTGTCGAGGTGAGCAGAACAGCCCTTGTCATCAGTATTACATAAACACAGAACTCTCAGGTCTGAGAGAGCCCCATGATGTACTTTTGGAATAGACCCAAGCCCACAGCTCTTTTGTAGTTTTTCCTAAATTTGCGTCAGCTAGACAGACAGGAAGTCTGGGCTGCCATTTTCCCAGAAACCCTAGCCTGAGCCCCAAGGAAGCTAGCTGTAAGGCTTGTTCCCTATTGGGGAAGGCACCTGTGGTCATACCTGTGCCATTACTTCAGTTTCAGAAATCACCTTGTGGGCATTTATAACCTCTCATTAGGGATAAGTGGCATGGGGACTGAAGTCCAAATTGTCCCAAAGAGAAAACAATGAGTTTGTATTCTTGACAAAGAAGAGAGTAAGCATGACTAAATCCATGTTTCCTGTTTGTTACCCATGGACCACCCTCTGAGAGGGTAATGGGGCAGGTAGCAGGTGAGACCGCCCTGGGACCAGCTAAGAGTAGATTGCCTGGGGCTGAGATCAGTGTGTGTGTGAGGCTCAGTTTGGCTTTGGGGTATTTGTACACACAGCCAGTCAGTTTATCATAAAATTCCATAGACTTCAAGATGTATCTTTTTTCAGACATTTTAGGATCTGAAACATTTTGGATCTAGTTTAAAAAGTTACCAGAGGAATAACTTTAGGTTAGGGCACTCAGCAGATAAATAAATGTAGCTACAATCTGAAGAAGAATGACACCTGACCATTGACTAGGTGGCAAAAGCCTCACTCTAGTCACCGCGGTCCTTCCATTGGGGACCAGTAACCCTGCAAGCTTGCAGGGCCCTCACGGTATTATTCAGCTGCAGCACACCACCATACAGATGCTCATAATGGCTTAGTGCATCCCCAAAGAGCTGTCCCATGAGCTTCATTATTTTTTCAGTTAAAAGCCAAAGAAATAGATAAAATATTTATAAAAATATATGCAATATAGGCTCTTTTTCAAGGGTCAATATAAACTTTGAGAACTCATATTCCAGGCTGTTATGGGGCAAAGTTGTGTCTATCCGACTTGGGGAGCACCTGATTGGTCTTTCTTAGAAGCCCCTAGAGAAATTATCTTATAGGCTTTTATTTATTTATTTTTTTTTAACTTATCTTGGCCTTGCCTTTGGCACCTCCGCATGTTTATTCACCACCTTTGGGTAAATCTGTGAACAGTGCAGCCACCTCTCTGCTGGTACTCTGTCTTACCCGAAGCTTGCCTTGGCCTTCATTCACTGTCTAAACTATGAATGGCAGCCGCAGAGGGCGATCTCTTTATTTTGATGTCTCCATTTTGTTCCCACTTTCATAGATTCTGGGGCCAGGTAGATTTATAGACTTCCTGGACCTTGACATGTGTACTCAGTATGAAGCCCTGCCTGCACCCCTAGGGCTTGTCCCCCACCAGGCCTGTGGCCATTTCTCCCATCTGTGCTGGGGGAGCCACAGAACCAGCTCGGAGGAATGGGGAGGGAGGTACTTTTTCATTGTTGTAGTTGTTGCTAATTTACCTTTTACATAGATCATACATTCTTCCTAATATGTGGAGAGAAAAACACACACAAAAAAAACCATCCCACATTCCTACCCATCTTATTATACCCCAGGTTTATGTGTTTATATACACTTAAATTTTTAACTGAAGAAGAAAAATAACCCTGCCTTTGTCCGCATTCTTTTTAACAACTTGTTTATTGTTGTATCCAGGTGACAAGCATGGTAAGTATTTTCACCAGTTGAGTATTCTGTATTTTAGCTGTGCTTGGCAGACTTTTTGGCTAGCTTTGTGTTATCAGCCTTGGCTTAACTAGAAAAGACCCATTTAGGAAAAGGAGAAAGTACTTACCTGATAGCATCCCCCATGTCCTTGGCTACAGAGGGAACCCATGTAGCCTTCTACTCACGGTGGGATACCTGCGAGAGCATGTGCCCCGCCAGCATGCTGCTTGGCCCATCAGTCACCACCCTGCCCACCCCACCTGCCCCACTGCTTCTGAGCCTCCCTGACCAGGCGTCTGCCAGGGCTTCCAGGCCTCGCATGACTCCCAACAGCTCCTGGCACTGTGGCCCATTGATAGCCCATACAGTCAGGGCCTCCTGACGCTTTGGATGGTCCTACCCCAGATGTACCCTCCTCCCCTATCTATATGCTTAAGAGGAGGGCTCTTTTTCCCTTGGGTGTATTAAGTAATTGGAGAAGTCTCGCTTTGGAAGCTGGAAAAATAAATACATTGTTCATTCTTCTCAGAGGCTTCCCATTCTGTTGAAAAAACAGATTAACAAAAAAAAAACAAAAAAAAATTATTTTTTAAACCTTGCCACTGGGTGTTCTTAGTAAATGCTCTGAGTAGCAGTAGGCTCCGTGTGTTTTAGCCTTCTGGCTGTGTTTATTTATCCGTGCATGTTTGCTTTTCCGGCCTCTTTTGTGGCTCTGTATTTTAGTCCATGTGCTCGTGGCTGTGCCTGTGTGAGCTGCCTGGTAGCCATGCGTTATGTATTAAGTCTGTGTGTCACTGTCACCTTCAAGGATCAGACTGCCAAGGATAAGGCCCTTCAGCACATGGCTGCCATGTCCTCAGCCCAGATCGTCTCAGCCACTGCCATTCACAACAAGCTGGGGCTGCCTGGGATTCCACGTCCGACCTTCCCAGGGGCACCGGGGGTGAGTCACCGCTGCATCCAGAAGCGATGGCCCTGGAGGCATGGGGTCACCATGGATCAACATGAAACTGACCACCTGGCACTTATTATGAGTCGGTCAAATGTTAGAGAACCCCCTTGTGGTAAAATGATGATGGGTGCAAAAAGGCAAAATCAATAAAGAAAGGGAGGGAGAGAGAGAGGGGGGAGTGGAGGGAGCTTTAGTCCCTGAAGACATAGAATCAAATATCACTTTTCTGGTGCCCTCCTGGGCTGTGATCTGCCTGTTTTTTTTCTAGTCCTTGGTCTCTGTTCCTATGTCCTCAGGGTCAGTTTATGATAGCTAGCCCCTAACGGAACAAAGAATCCTGTTAACATTTTCATTTTGCACCTACCAAGGGCTGAGACACTAAACGTTATGGTCCCATTTAATGTTCATTATAATCCTTAATGCCTCTTACTGTTACTGCCATTTTACAGATGAGAAAACTGAGGTTACTTGGAAACAAAACAAGAGTTTGGGAACATGATCATAATCACATGGGTAATGGTGTTAGGACTCAAACCCAGGGTTCTGTGATTTCTTTTACATAGTGCTGCCTCCAGCAGGAGTCAGCAGGTACCGAAGGCCCCAGGAAAACTCACAGCAAAGGAGGTGTCTGCGCTGCTGTTCGGAGTTCCTAGCTGGCCTCTTGTTTGGAGTTTTGTCCTCTTCCTGGCTGGGCCTTCGGTGCTATGAGCCCAGGCAGCAGCACGTTACACAGGGAGCATTCAGAATGGAAAGGGAAGTAAAGGGCAGGTAGGCGCAGGGATGAAAATATTTGTGAAGGCTCTGCACCCAGATCGCTGCCAGGTGTTGCTGCCTGTTCCTGCCAGTGTAGATTATCTGGAAGAGGAGCTAGAGGAAGCCTTGGGTTGCTAGGCCGAGGACATAGGCGGTGGTTTTCTGCCCGGCAGTGAACACACCTGCATTTAGGGAGGGTCACTGCGCCTGGCGGATGACCTGAACCCGCCATCTTTAGCAGGGGGTGCAGTGCACGTGCATCCTGAACTGTGTTTTGAAGTGAACTCATAATCCTGAAGCCTCTTTACATTTTGCCTTTCAGTTCTGGCCGGGAATGATACAAACAGGGCAGCCAGGATCCTCACAAGAGTAAGTCTGAGGAGGGGCCGGCATTGACTACAAGGGCCTGGGCACCACCCACCCTGGGGCCAAACTACCTGGGAGCTGGGAGGGGCGGGGAAAGGAGATTTAACCTGGGATCACCGACATCATCCCTCATTGTTACCTGCTGAAGCCAATAGGAAAGAGACTGCTCAGGTCCTGGAGACATGGAAATACCTTGCTTCCACCTTAAGTTTAGTGGTCATGTAGCTCGAAACAGGAAGAAGATTCCGATCCTTTCCTGGCTCTGAAGGGCAAAGTGTAGGGTCGTCCTGAGAAAGCACCTGCCTGAGAGCGGGCAGTGTGGTGATTCCATAGCCCATTCTGTCCCGGATTTCCCTGTGGTACAGCGGCTAATGGAAAATCCCAATGATGCTTTGAGGGCCAGGGTAGCAAGCTCAGTAAAGATGAGGGCAGTCTGGGGTAAAAGCAGACTGAACTTGAGCTATTTGGCCTAGAGAAGGTAAGCAGGTGCCTATGATTGGTGACCACGAACCTCGGTCTCAGAGGCAGATGTCTAGTTCCTCCCACTGAACTGGTGTGAAGCTGGTGGCGGGTCCCCAGAAGCCTGTTGGCCCCTCAATCGTCAGGAGTAACCCTCTCAGTTTTAGTGGAGCTCTGCCTGGGCTGTGCCCCACTTGCAGGCAGGGAACCTGACAGTGGGAAAAACCCTAGGCGGGGTCCCTAGCCCTGGGAAGCTGAGGCCAAGACTGAGCTGTAGCCACTGCTACAGACGCCATTTCTGACTCTCTCCATCCTTCCATTCCCAGTGTCAAGCCCTTCGTGCAGCAGGCCTACCCCATCCAGCCAGCGGTCACAGCCCCCATTCCAGGTGAGTCTCTGAGGGGCTCCCTCTCACTTTTTCCACAGCTGCATGTCCTCCCTGACTTGCAGAGCCATGGCTGCCCCTTCTGTGCCTACATGTTTAAGGCCGGGGTTAGCCTGGATCTATGGAGGGTCTCAGGGGTCCTTTCCCAGGTCCCTTATTCCTCTCAGTCACCTCACGAAGAGCTCTTCAGATGCATTGTTTTAAGGAAACAGGAAGTCTCGTCACTTTCACTCAGCACCCTGGTCATCCTTGGAAGGGGAAGTTACTATGGTTCCTTCCCCATCATTAACAGGCTGAATTGGGCAATCCAGGTCCTAAAGGGTTTATTCACCCTTTCCTAGATACGTGGGTTTTAATTCCTAGTACCCTTTCTTCAAAGGAGAGCTGCCAGGGAAGGCCAAACTAGAAACCATGTATCTGTTCCCCGCTACACACGTGTGAATGTGGAATGACACGGTGGAGCCGCTCTCCTTTACAGACCTCAGGCTTATGCCCTCTGCTCCAACACCACGGGGCACTCTGAGGGAATGTTCATACTGCCGGTGATTGCAGGCTTAAGAAAGAGGTGGAGAAACACAAGAAGTATCTTGTGTGCCAGCCTCACAGGAGATCTTTGTGACATTCATTCCCACATTTCAGTCGGTCTCACCCTGGCCCCTAGTTCGGCCCCTTTGTCTAGGAGCAGGTGTCCTCAGCATGAGTTGAAGTTGGCTTTATGGAGAGCCACATGAATTGTTTTATCAGGACACTGCCTCAGGCTCCTTGGCCAGAGTCTCACCCCTACCTCACATGACAGTTGGTGGAACAGGCCTTTTTTCTTGGGTCACCTGTTGATAGGGCCCTGTCCCCATATTTGCCTGCCGCCCAAAGGGAGGTGAATGGTCAGCATTAAAGGTGATGATTGGTCTTTCAGGGTTTGAGCCTGCGTCAGCCCCAGCTCCCTCGGTCCCTGCCTGGCAGGGTCGCTCCATTGGCACAACCAAACTTCGCCTGGTAGAATTCTCCGCTTTCCTCGAACCACAGCGAGACCCAGACTCGGTGAGTGTGCTCAGAGAGGGGTGCCTCAAATCCAGCACTTGCTGTCCAATTCCATTCCCCTTTACCATCCTTTCCCCTGCCCTCATGCCTGACAGATAACCCGAGTGGATGTGGACCTGAAGGAATAGCCAACCAGCTTTTCAGTTAAGTAAAAGGTTCCACATGGACAACTATGTGGAATTTAGAGCTGAATTTAGAGTTGAATTTGTGGATGCTTTGGACCTGACACTTCAGGGAACACTGGTGCTGAAGGGAAGGACCTTAATGGGCTCTTGCATTTGGTAAAATTCAACCTTTATTGAACCTTGCCTCATGACTGGTATTAGGCAAAGCTGCTTATATATACCTGTACAATTACATATTACCCTCATCAAAACCTTATAAGGCTAGGTACTGTCTGAGAGATGACAAAACAGAAGTTAAGTAATTTCCCTGAAGTCACATTGTTAATAGTTGATGGATTAGAGATTCAAACTTATGTTTTTCAAACTCAAGCCTAAACATTTAGCCATGATTCTACACTGCCTTTCCAAAATAGCAGCTCTATTTTCTCACGATAGCAGGTTGTTATCTTCTTAAGGAGAAGTAACAAGATGGTACTTTAGCAATTGGACATAGAATACATTGTAATGTCATAAATACCAGGAAAGTTGGCATCTGGACTTTATTCAATGCTGCCCGCCACCTCCCCTCCCCCCACCCTTCGAGTGCTGCCATCCCATTGTTTCCCTGCCGTCCATCATTTCCCATACATATGTGAGCCCCCTTTCCCCCCCCCCCCCCCCCAATAAGCCCAAGGCCCTTATCTCACTCACTCCCACTCCTTGGCTGTGAGGATGAGCACTGCATCTGCATGTGGGCGAGTCCAAGGCACACACTGGAGAAATCGTGAGTTTGTCTTTGGGAATCTTCACCAACTCCTTCCTGTGTTCCTATTGCACCCACCTGCTGATCTCCAGGGCCACTGAAAGCCATGCCTTCTGTGTGTCTGCCGCCTTGCTGTCGTTCTGTTATCAGGAAAAAGTGTCTCGAGTGGTTTCACCATCTGTTGTGAATAACTCAGATACTGAACCATCACGGGTGACCTCTCCTGGGAGGATTTGCACTTGAGCTTGGTGGAAAGCCTCTGGTGACAGGATAGGGGAGACGCCCTGGGCTAGAGGCTTCCACCGGCCATCACCCCAGCAGAGGCTCGGGAACACCATGCAGCCACTGACATTTCTGTCTATGAGTTGTGAACTCTGGCAGCTGGTAGGAAAATAGAGCCTGCTCCAAAATTAGGGGGAAATGAAGGAGATGTAAGTAGGTCAGTGGGCCTATTAAGGCAGGTATAGGAAAATAAGGTTATTGAAAACAGGGGAGAGAAAGCCAAGTAGGTCATTTTTTTCAGTAGCTGAGTGGTTTTACAGAAAGGGTGATGGCAATGGCCTTTCCCTGATGAATGAAAAGGTTTGGCTTTGTAGCTTCGACTCTAATCCATGACTTTAACTGTCCTAAAACAAACGGAAGGCCAGGTGCCAGTAAACATTCTTGGGCCTCTTGAAAAAGTAATTATATTATAGGGGACCCAAGATGGAGACAGAGAGAAATTGGAATTCAGTCAGCAAATACTTTTTAAACACCACATGCCAGCCCTGTTTTAGGTGTCAGGGATTCAACAGCAAAGGAAACAGTCCTTATTCTAGTGGAGCCTCCCTCCTAAGTAGAGATGACAACAGTAACCACCCCAACAAGTGCACACATGCGTATACACACACACACACACACACACACACACACACACAGAATGGGAGGTGATGCTAAGTGCTTATGTGGAATGGCGATCCTGCACAGGTGAAAATCATGTGCTCTTTAGAATAAAAAAGTATAATTTCAGAAAATGTCATATGTTGATATTTTTGGCTTGTTATATTATGATTTTCAGTTATGTCTATCAGATAATGCCAACCAAAACTGCACCATTATTCTGAAATTATTTTCCTAAATTGTAACATCAATCTCACTTGTTAATGTTGCTTCTAACATTCCTGTGTTACGAACCCTGATTTTACAGTGATATATAAATGAGTTTAACGTATATAAGTGAATTCATGCCAAGTTTCGATTAGTACATGTATTTGATTTTAGTGGAGATGTGAAGGTCCAGAGAGTTCTTATGCTAGAGGAAGCAGGGAACCCTTAGAGAAAAAGGTGATTAAGGAATTGAAATGGGGGAGAATTAACAAAATTATTTACAGCACTTTGATGATGCCTCAAGTGCCAGTTTGTTAGATTATATAATATGTACTTTATTTTGCACACATGAGGTGCTGATACAGTGAACATGTGATGGCACTTCAGGACCAACGTCACACTGAAAAATTTGTAGCATGTGAATGGTTCCAACTATAGGAAAATTTAAAGTCACCTAAAATAATTCATCTGGGACATTTAAATGAATGTGGATGTACTCTACTTAACACTTTAACATCAAATATTAAGTATTTAATTTTATAAGGAAGCCAACAAGGTGACAAATAATTAAAGTTCCCCAAACAGATTTAACTCTGTGTTTGGAGATCTTTGTCTCCATGTAGGCCTGCACACATTTCTCCCTACTTCTCCATAATGGCTTAAGCTCATTGGAATCATGGGGTTATAGATAGTGCTGGCAAAAAGCCAATAAATAAATCAATGTGCTGGGTGCAGTGCTAACTGTTTTTCATTAGTGATTTCTTCTATCCTCCTCATAGCCCAATGAGGTAGGTAATTCTGTTCCATTCTAGAGGAGAGGCTTGGAGAGATTGCTGTTTTGCAGATAGTCAGTGGCTGTGGCCAGGTTTGAATCTTGGGGCTCTCCTATAGAGTACTATTGGGAAATGGCACTATGTCCCAGCAGTAGATAAGGCATGAGCAAGAAAGCCAAGAGGAAAACCTAGTTTGCCACAATCCAGGGTGGCCTCCCTTTGTTACCACTGCTTTGGAAATTCACTCCTCAGTCTAACACATAGTCTTCATTGCCACCACTGAAGACTTCTTCCTGACTCTGCCACCCTTAGCATTGGCAGCACTAGTAGTAGTACCAGCAGTAGTACCATCTGTGGAGATAGCCAACACTGTGCATTATTTTACTTAATCCTGTGACGTGCCTGCCCAGGATTAGGCAGCTAGCTGACGTTGGAAATGGGATTCAGATCCTGGACTGCGGATTCCACATCCTGAGATTATAACCAAAGAGTGTATGGTCCATGTGTACCTGTGGCCTGTTTTGTAGGCTATAGCTGGCTATAATCTATAAACTAAAGGAAGAATAATCTGGGGGATGAGCGCCCCCTGCTGGCTTTGCATCAAGTATAAACCAGATGGCAGCGTTTCCTCAAGTTGGTTGTTTATATTGGTGGAGAACCAGCAAGTCAGTCCCTCTGTTACCTTTGGCTCCACTAGAAGCGAAGAGAAAAACAGCAGAGGGTTAAGAAAGGAAGATTAAAAAATTAACACAATATTAGAAGTGGTTAGTAGTGCTTGAAAATACACTTTTTACATGATTTCAGTGTTGCATATCAAAGGACTTCAAATGTTAAGTGTAAGATCCTCCATTGCCTGTAATCAGGGCCCCGTTCCTGGGGACTGAGTTAGGCAGCTGCTGATTTGAGACTGCTGAAAACCTGCTCTTGGTGAGCTGTAAGCTGAATCCTGTGTGTGCATGGGGAGTGGTTTTCCTGATAAAGCCTAGTGGAATTCCTCCATCCCCACCCTGGGACACGGCAGGTCCCTCCAGCCCCCCACAGCCCAGCCACATCCTGCTCCACAGCTGGCAAAACCCTGATGGTGCAGACTTCCCAGGTACCAGACTGTATGCTTAATGCTTGTAATGGTCTACATGTCAGAATATGCAGGACTGTGTGCAAGAAAAGAGTATGTGAGGGTAGAGTTAGGTAGGTGTTACACAGACAGAGAAGGGAGAATTTTGGGATGGAGAGGGAGTGACAAGGAAATTGAAAATGCACTGTCTTGCCAAAGAAGAAGAAAAATTCCATGATGTGATATGGTAACAAACCGAACAGAGAAGGCACAATCAGCTCCTAACAAACACCTTGCTACGTGATAGCAATAACATTAATCACTGGCACCTACTGAGCTGTGTTATAAGCACTACGCCACACATTTGGCTTGGGTACTGGTCTTATGTCCTGTCTATCAGGGGAAGGAATGGATGCTCCGATACATTAAGATACATTATCAAGATCCACTCCCAGGAAGTGGCTATGCCAAGGTTTGGCTCCACTCTATTCCTAACCACTTCACTGTGGTTTTGAAGAAATCAAAAAATTCTTCAAACATAAAAACAGCTGCCTTCCAAAGTATGAGCTTCCCAAGCTCAGGCTGCAGGTTAGCAGGGCCCTTCACATGGGGTGAGGATCGGGCTGGCTTTTCTTTGAGCTCCTTTTCCAACCTGCGGTTCTGTGAGTCTTCTCGGGGTTTGGGACAAGGCACCAGATAGGCCAGGGATGTTTCCACTGGGACTTTAGAGAATATCTCCTGTCATGGTCTTGTGACAACACATTTGTACTAATTGAATGAGAAAGCTGGTATCTGAATGCTTACCAGTGGTGTGAGATTTGGGGAAAATGACTTCACGGCTCAGCCTGACTTCAGTTGGTACAGCGGGCATAATAGGACCACTCTCATGATTGCCGCAACAATTACAGTTAGCAGCATCCCTGGACCTAATGAACACTCCACACATGGTTTTTGGAACCTGAATGTCTTTTAGAAATGTAACAGGAAATCGGGCCAGACAGATGGAGGGATCTGGCTTGGGAAGATCTGCTCACCAGGTGTTTTGGACTCTATTGAAACTTAGATGGGAGCCAGAATATTTTTTTAAATGAATTCTATTTTTTTTTTTTTAGTAGATAGTCAATTCATGTGGTCAAAAATCTATAAGCATAAAAGAATGGAAGGAGATTCCACTACCTTCTAATTCCTATCCCACCCCCAGTAGGAATCACCTTTGCTAG